TCTCCCTCCTCTGTGAGGGCAGATCTGCGTGCCCCCCCCCATAGCTAGCAATCCAAAACAGTCCAGTGGCACCTTTAAGACCAAGTTCTATTCAGGTACAAGCTCTCTCTCCTCTGTGAGGGCAGATCTGCGTGTTCCCCCCTCCCCCAATAGCTAGCAATCCAAAACAGTCCAGTGGAGCCTGAGCTCTGGGTGTTGCCTTCTGACACACATCTGGTGATGTCAGGGTGTGTGGCATATGCTAATAAGTTATGCTAATAAATTATTCCAATGAGCTCCTGCACCTCTTTTTCTATGAAATGACCCCTGGTTAAAGTTAAAATGACACAAAGATCAACTGGTTTTGAACACAAAATTTCATATAATTTCTCTGACTTGAGCTAGCATTTTCATAATTAAAAAATAGCAGGGTTTGTTTTACTGACAGACAAAACTCTTCTACTGAGTACGTGTGTGTAACTGGTGTGTATTCTATCAGTATTATATTCACTTCCTTAAACAAATGTTACCATAGTTGTCATAGTTTGGACAGGCCATTTTCAATTCTTTCTTACAGTTCTACTCCAGAACCAATATGACCAAAGAAACCATAAAGTTCAACATTAAAGCGCCAGTTTGGTGTAGTGGTTAAGAGTGCGGACTCTAATCTGGGAGAACTGGGTTTGATTCCCCACTCCTCCACTTGCACCTGCTGACGTGACCTTGGGTCAGTCACAAGCTCTGGCACAGCTGTCCTTGAAAAAGAGCAGTTTGTGTCAGAGTTCTCTCAGCCCCACCCACCTCACAGGGTGTCTGTTGTGGGGAGGGGAAGGGAAAGGAGTTTGTAAGCCGCTCTGAGACTCCAAGTGAAGGGCGGGGTATAAATCCAATCTCTTCTTCTTCTTCTTCTACATAGTATTGTGGAAGAAACATATTGAAAGGTATACTTGTTTCAATTTGATCAGTCCTGCATTGTCTTTTGCTAATGATCAAGAGGGAAAACAATACTAAAGTAGCTAGGAAGGAAGGAACAGCTGCCTACTGTATCAATGAGTGTAGTGATGTTCATCCAGATATTTCCAGTCTGAATTATATATTAAAAAAATACCTTAATCAGTATTTTTAGATATATTTGGTTTTCCGGAATACCAGTAATCTGACCCTGAAAATCCCAGAAATATTTAAGGCCAGCATTTTGAGGCTCCCAGACCTTTTCCCTCTTTTCAGTGTTACAGGATTCCTGAGCCACCAGGAGCGGGGGGGGGGGGGGGGGGGGGGGGGGGGGGGGCAGAGCAGTAAAACTGTTTGCCTAATCAGGGGTCATTTTGTAAAAAAGGAGGTGCAGGAGCTCATTAGCATAACTCATTAGCATAACTTATTTGCATATGCCACACACCCTGACATCACCGGAAGTGTGTCAGAAGGCAACACCCACTGCTCAGGCTCCACTGGACTGTGTTGGACTGCTAGCTATTGGGGGATGGGGAACGTGCAGATCTGTCCTCGCAGAGGAGGGAGAGCTTGTACCTGAATAAAACTTGGTCTTAAAGGTGCCACTGGACTGTTTTGGACTGGGGGGCTGGTGGGGGCCTCTGCAACTTACCTGGCTGCTTCTTGCTCTGACTGAGGGCTGCTGGGAGCAGGGGGTGGGACTTGTTGCTCTGACTGAGGGCTGCTGGGAGCAGGGGGTGGGACTGGGCTCTTTACGGCCGGAGCTCCGCTCCTGTGCGCTCCTGCAGGAAATGACCCCTGTGCCTAATCAAGACAAGCAGATTCCCAGATTTGATGCTGGATGTGTTGGGTTTGCTGGTTCTGTTTGTATTTGGAGGCGTTTGGCCTGTGGTTGCTCTTGTGTCTTTGGCTATTGGCTTCCTTGCCCTGGAGAAATCAAGGAATTTTGTTCCCACAGGAAACAATGCAGGCAAGTAGGACAGTTTGGGGGAACCTTGTTCAGGGGCCCACAGATTTGGTGACCTCAGTCTATTCACTTGAAACTTTGGAGATCTACAGTGGACAGGCAGGATTAAGTTTTCTGAAATATGATGTAATTTGCTTGAAAAACAGCCACTCCAGATCCATTGTTTTAGGAAGAAATTATAGTTTTCAGTAGGGCTCATTTCCAAAAATGGCTGCTTTATAACTTGCTCCTGTACAGACCTAAGTGCACATGAGCCTGTTGATTTCAGCTCCTCAGAGGTTCAGATCAGGCTGTTAGCTAAGTGATTTGAATCTCTATAAGCTTGTTCTCCAGAGTTTTGTGTGGCTTTCCTACTATAATAATAGGGGAGTATGTTGCTATGAGGAGCTGCGGTAGCTCAAGTGGTTAAGACGCTGAACTGCAGGCTGTGGAAGGTCAGTAGTTCAGCAGTTCAAGACCCGAGTATGCCACAAGACGGAGTGAGCTCCCGTCTCTAGTTCCAGCTCCTGCCAACCTAGCAGTTTGAAAGCAAGAAATTGCAAGTAGATAAATAGGTACCACTTTGGTGGGAAGGTAACAGCGTTCCGTGCACCTTGGTGTTTAGTCATGCCGGCCACATGACCACGGAAACGTCTTCGGACAGCGCTGGCTCTTCGGCTTTGAAACGGAGATGAGCACCGCAACCCTAGAGTCGGACTCGACTGGCTTTCAAGCAAGGGAACCTTTACCTTTACCTATGTTGCTATGACACATTTTCCCCTGCTCTGCTGACTCTGTGATAGGGACTTGAAACTGCGAATGCCTATTTTTGCCCAGAATAGCATGCAGTCAACAGATTGTATGCTAAGAGCTCTTTGCAAAATGTGTTCATTTCTTCTGAAATAGCCAATCAGATGTGATTCTAGATTTTAAAATGTCAACTTCTTTTGTAATCAGTTGAGACCACCACTGATGAAATATGGCACGCAATCACACATTACCCGGGATGACCCAAGAACCCATGAACAGAAGGAAATAAGAGAAAATGTCTCCCACCTTCTTCCAGTGGGCTACTCAGCTCCTCCTCATAAAGCTGCAACAGATGATAAGGAAGGAAAGATGGGGAGGACCCTCCTGAACAAAATGTCATGTAGTATTATCGGAAGGCTGCAGCAAGGAGGAGGAAACTGGACATTGTCCTTGCTGTTGTTGCTCAAGTGTTTGCTCTGCTCATGAAGGAGAAAGTTCTGGAGGTGAATGCACACAATTTCATTTGATGTCCCTGTCCTGCTGCAGCTCTATGCTATCGTGGCATATTTACTTTCAAGTGTTCTCTTATCCTTTATAACAAGTGGGAGGAGAGCCCTGCTATGACCAACTCCTCTATATTTGCAGAAACTTGGATCCATTTGAATCCCTTTGTTTCGTACACAAGTCTAAGCATGCTGTTTGGAAAATGAACATTTTTCAGCTGAAACAATAAAAGAAGACACCCATGTATTTGAGAACTTTGCTCACAAATCAAGTAGATCTGTACCATTTCGCAATAAATAAATAAATAAATAAAATTCTTCTTGGCGCATAGGTGTGGCAGAAGATAGGATGGAGGAGCACTTTGGTGTAGTGACAAAAAGAGGTAAGTCAAACAGAGTAGAGGGCCAACAATTAAAACTTAATGTATATAATATAAAAATTCATGTATTTATTAGCAAAGAAATAAAAAACATGTAAGGGCCCAATTACACCTCATATAAAAATACAAAAATCATACACACAACGGCCAATAGACAATCTGACAAGTCTATTGGCGCTTGTGTGTATGATTTTTGGTATTTTGATATGTGGTGTAATTGGGTCCTTATATGTTTTTTATTTCTTTGCTAATAAAAAAGATGTATTTTTATATTATATATATATTAAGATTTAATTGTTGGCCTTCTACTCTGCTTGACTTACCTCTTTAGGTTCTTGATCCCAGGTTTCAGGTTAAGTTTGTTCCCCTTTTTTGTCCCTAGGTTGTTCTTTTGTGACAAAGGAGAAGACCTCAAAATCAGCAACTGCAACAATTTCCAACAGCTGCTGTAGTGCTCATAGTCAAGAAATGCTAAGTAGTGGTATGGTTTGATTTAGGAATCTCTGCTCTTGCACTTTGTTTCCGGCATTTTAGGAATATGGATTATTGATTTTTTTAATTAATGTTTTATGTATGTTTTTAACTGTATTTATATATGCATTATGTAAGCAGCCCTGAGCCCACCTTGGCAGGGAGGGCAGGATATAAATCAAACTAATAAATAAATAAATAATAAACAATACCAGCAAACACTCCTCATGGCCATTCAAGAAGCAGGTTCCACAAAGAGAGCCCACAGAACAGATTAGTCAGGTGATAGAGAGGAAATGGCAAAAAACCTTAAAATGTGTTTTGTGGCATAAAGGGCAACTCGGCAACAGAAACATAAAAACTGGGGGGGGGTCACTGGAAATAAAAGTGACTTGTGACCAATCTAACACTCCCATGTTCCACAGAGACGGTTCACTGTGCTGGTGCATCCAAGTGTGATTCTAGGGCTCAACTGGTAAGTCACTTGTTAACAGCTTCATTTTGAGAACCTATAACCATGAGAATGTGGCTATGTACCCACTAAAGATTCTGCTTTTAGTTTTTATGCACAGCCTTGGGTTCACCCTGTAGAAACACATTATAGAAAAAAATTAAAAAGGATATCTTGGTGTAAAGCAGGAATGGGATACCTTAGATGCAATTCTCTTTAATTTTATGGGACACATAAAGAATATCTACATCTACAATAATATATTAACTTGGCCCCTTCATACCTCACCCCCTCCCAAGCTGCTCCTTAGAATCTTTGGACGTGATCCCTCAGCAGGCAGAGGTATGTCTGAAAGGGAAAACTTTTGAGCACCACTGGACACCTTCGGATCAGAATCATTTACAACTGAAGTCAGACCTACTGAGAACTCAAACGGCACTGCCCAGAAAAAACACACACCACCACAAGCAACTGAGTTAAAATATTAAGTTCTTCTGTAGTGACAAGAAGCTTTTGTTTGTTTGTTCAGATGGATTCAACAGTAATATTAAACTAGCTCTGTTGCCAGTTTGCTTCAGCTGACGTGCTAAATCATCTTCATGCAGATTTTCTGCTTGTAGAAAAAAGAAATATTCCTTCCAATGTATGTGAAATCCCTTTGGGATGTTTTATTATGGTTGGCAGGGAGAACACATTTGGAAATACACCATCTACACATCCTCAGACAGAACCTGGGAAGAAAAGTTGTCTAAAACATATCAGCTATCAGTTATATGATAAGACTGGCTAGAAAAGAGGTTTTATATATTATTTATAATTTTGAATGCTTTATTAGCATTTAACACACCAGCAGCTGCAGGAAACTGTTTACTTTATGGCTGAGTTTCCGACAGTCAAAGACCAGTGTTGCTAAGGTAGAATCTCACTCCACTCAATGGAGAAAAACTTCTGAAAAGGGTATGAAGCAACATACCAATGTCATAATGCAATATATAATGAATTGTTTGTACTAACATAATATTTCCCTGAGAAATTTGTATCTTGTGTCACCTCTGAAACAGCTGCAAACCTTGATTCAGAAGACAATTTATGCTTCAATAAACCACACACCAATTTTTTTTAAAACTACACTAAATGCAAGACTGTTTATGCTGGTGGTGCAGTTTGTAAAATATTAGAATACTCAGAAAAGGGAAGATTTAGGTATCTCTACATCCAAATTAACTAGGCAAAATAGAAATGTGGAAATGTCTGGTAACTGTGTGGCTTTGGTCTTTTGTCCATTCCCTTTTCATTTGTTGCCAGTTCTTTCTAGACACTCCCTGAGATGCTCTCTTATGATTCTTGCATCTTTCAATTGGGCATCTGTATTCTGCATTATGAAATCAATTGTCTTGGCAACATTAGGGTCAACATTATTTGGATATCAGATATGATAAAGGCAAACTAAGTGACTAGTTAACAAAGTGTTAACTTTGCAACCTTGAGGTTTTATGCCTACATTCTGCTACAATGGAATAAGCAGATGGGAATCTTTAGGGTACAGGAGACAGACAATAAGAAGCACATGAAGCAGCAGCAGCTAAATAAAAACCCTGTGAGTTCTGTGTTTTTTGAGGGGGGAAAAGCCCAAGTGAAAAGAAAGGCACACCTGACTCTTTCAAGAAGAAGCACATGAAGCAGCAGCAGCAGCAGCTAAATAAAAACCCGGTGAGTTCTGTGTGTTTTTTGAGGGGGGAAAAGCTCAAGTGAAAAGAAAGGCACACCTGACTCTTATCAACAGACAGCTAAAATCTTCTTTTTGACTTCCTTATCAGAGGGAGAGGGCTCACACCTGCAGAACTTTACATTTTAATGTCTGCATTGATACAGAGCTTTGTCCCTTAAATATTCTTCCAAGCACTGGACTGCGAAGGGATCAATGTCAGTGTCAAACTTGTTGGCAAAAAAGTGGTGTTTTTGCAACATCCAGTTCAAGTCTCCAACTCCAAAGACACACACAGAACGGACATGAACCCCATTACAGGGTGGATATGGGGCACCCTTGGACACGTCCCCCTCAAAGTAATGCCACTTGACAAATCTGGCAAGAGCATTCATATCAGAGACATCGTATTTGTCACTAGCAGAAACAGCACCTGGCACTTCAGGGATTCGTTGAATAGTAGCCCACAAGTACTCATCAGGACTGTAAGTGTCTTTAGCCCACTCTATAAAAGAAAGGATTTTGCTGTTTTCTAAGACATACTCGACAAACCTCCTACTTACAACAAAGTAGGCACTGCCAGAGAAAATGGGTGTACTGATAGGTGGGTGTTGTTTGTCTATTCCCATATTCTTTACTTTACCGTCAACAATTTCATAATGCTTCTTCCACCGTATCTCCTTGTATGAAGGCATTTTCTCGGTTTCCAAGCTGTTTTCACCCTTGAGAGCTTTCAGTTTCTCTGCTATTTCCTGGTTGGTCTTGATTGGGAAATCCATACCACAAAGGTTGATCAAATACTTCCAGCTTGTACTCCTCCTGTAGAGGTCTTTCATGCAGTTGAGGTCTGCTTGCACTCTGCTCCACGAAGCATACACTACACTCTCCAGCTGGCTCGCAATGAAGACATTGTCAAAACATGAAGCAATCCCCTTCACCGCAGCCAAGAAGGATTCTGGGGACTTCTTATCCACATGAATGCAGTAATAGTTTTGGGGTGCATATACAGATCTCAGAAGTCTATCAAACATATTAATTTTGTGATAAACCACTATTGAGTATGCAAGTGGAAATTCTGCTTCTTCTTTGCTCAGAGGTTCCATAATATATTTCCGCTTCTTTATAAAAGAGGCACAATCAGTTGTCATGTTAATATAATCATTTGCTGTTAGTTTACGGCTTTTCCTAAAAGACACAGTTAACAACTCCAGCTTTACTTTCTGAATTTCCTCCTGATCACCCTGCAATATTTTTGTACAGTTTACATTACTGTTGGGGTATTCACCTACGAGTTCCAGATTCTCATGATGCAGATAATCTGGTTTCTGGTGAATTTTGATAAGGGACAAAGCCCCTACTGTAAAAACTAACACCAGAAGAAACTTGAAGCGTAGGATATGACAGTGACGAAGTTTTCTTCTCAGCATTTCAGAGAGTGTTAAGAACCTTCAGGCATCGAAGTGACTTTCTCTGGAACGTGATCACATGTATAACTTCAGAGGCTTCAGTTTGCATTTCTCAGAAGTAGATGGTTATCCTGTAAATGAAAGCAAAATGTATGCAGATTAATGGAATAGATGTGCATTTCACCTGTTCTTTTCAACCAAGATTTAGAGTTATAATCACTATTACTTAAGTTGTTTGAAATGTTAAAGGCAATTTTGGCTGTGAACCTCAGTTTAAAACATTAACATGCTAATATAATTGTTTTACAGACCTATTTAGTCTGCCATTGTTCACATTCCAATCCAGGGCCTAGGTTTTTCATACAGTCACTTTATGCTGGAGCCTTGTAAACACAATTGTTTAGAGGACCACGTGATTTATAGAGACAGCGAGTCCAAGGTCATATCATCTAACACCAGCTTATTTTCATTTGGAAAGTACTTAGCAACTTTAAGAAACATGCAAAAATGATCTTGGAACCTTTAAAAGAAAGTTATGATGTAAGGGATTCACTAAACTGAAATTAGTTTCTCTCTCAGTAGCCAAGATTCTAAGCCCAAGAGCCTTCCCTAGTGTGCCTGGAAAAGGAAGAGACTACACTTCTCATCTGCAATTTTTATAACTACTTAAAACAGGTATTAAGCATATATTTAAGACATGCAACAATCTGCTGGCCAATTATTCAAGTGACTGCACATACTCTGAGTAAGCAATGTAAGTTGTTGTTAGGTAAACCAAACATTGAATGGTCAGCTCCCTGTACAGGCAACAATGTGACAACTTCAGCCACCATGAGAGCTAACTACTGGAGAAAACCCAGCTCTTTTTGCCTTTATGGCTCATTCATCTCCTCTTTGATTGAGAGCTAGCTACCTAGCCAGCTTGATGACTACCCTTCCATGTCCCTGCCTACCCATCTCTCAATTTTCATGTTCCCAAGTATTATACAGGTCCCTCCAATTGAAGCTTTACTGTTATGGTGACACAACACCACTCTCCCTCCCAGTTTGGTATAGTGGTTAAGTGCGCGGACTCTAATCTGGGAGAACCGGATTTGATTCCCCACTCCTCCACTTGCACCTGGCTGGATGACCTTGGGCAAGCTGTAGTTCTGATAAGAGCTGTTCTTGTAAAAGAGCACTTTCTGTCAATGCTCTCTCAGCCCCGCCTACCTCACAGGGTGCCTGTTGTGGGGAGGGGAAGGGAAAGGAGTTTGTAAGCCACTCTGAGACGCCTTTGGGTAGTGAAGGGCAGGGTATAAATCCAATCTCCTCCTCCTCCTCCTCCTCCTTACTGTTGATTACCAATTACTGAAGCATGCAAAACAGGCACAAAATACATTCATTTAAATGAATGTGTTGATCCCTTCCCCTAAATAAACTTTCCTTCCAGAAGTCTCAATGTTAAATGCAAACTAGATGCATTTGCTACTGGCTGTTTCCAACTTCAGTCCCTCTTAGATTGAGGCGGAGGAGGAGATGACAGTTATTCCATCTTAAGGGAAAGACAGTCTAGGCATGCTCTGAGACAGTTCTTCTAGGACTTAGTCTAAGTGTTGAAAACAAGCAGGCAAAACTCTGGTGAGGGCTTGGTACACATTAAATAATTAATTCCAGAAGAGTAGGCATGTTAGTCTGCTGCTGCAGAACAAAAGCAAAACAAAACACAAAAAGGAGTCTTATGCCACTTCAAGAAGCAACAGATTTATTGTAGCCCCTTAAACTTCATACTTAGAGCTTACTTCAGATGCATAAATCCAGTCCTCAGTTAGCAGATACAGATTTCACAGAAACTGTGAATAGTGGGGTTAAAAGGCTGTGAAATGGTCCGGTCTATGGTGGCACGCTAGCAGACTCACCTCCCGGACCTCCCGGGGGTGAGTCTGCGCTCCAGCTGAAGGAGGGAGTGTGGAGGTTCGCTTACCCCCCCCCCAGACAACCAGGGAAGGGACTCTGGCCATGGAACTTCTAAGAGGTTGACTCTTTGAGGGCGGAATGCCGGAGAATTGAGGCACCTCTTCGTTCCGACGGTTCTCCGTGCTGTGAGACCAAATGTGATTTAGTGACGCTGACTGGGGCAAGCGTGGGAGACCGAGCATCAGAAATGAAGCTGAAAGCAATGACCAATTATGAACGTAAGTTTTGAAGCGTTTTAAGGGGAAAAGATAGCTCCCCACCCCACTCTACTTAACGGAGAAAGGCGAGCATGGGAGGGACGCCTCTCATGCGAATGAATTTTTGAGCGATAGAGGGGGGAGCGGAAGAAAATGCAAAGGAAACTGTCTAGAAGTACTTACCAAAGTGAATCTAAGCGGTGAAGTGCACATTCAGATACTTTTTTAAAAAATGTGAAAGTAAACAAATGATAAATGATAAAAAGGGAGCGGTGGCGCAGGCAGTTAAATGCCTGCCTTGTAACATCACTCGAACAGCCACTATGGCTGTTCGAGTACCACCGCGGTCGAGGTGAGCTCTCGACCTTCGTCCCAGCTCCCGCCCACCCAGCGGTTTCGAAAGCAACTTAATTGCGAGTAGATAAATGGGTACCCACCCTTAGACGGGTGGGGGGCACCCTGTATGGTGGTTGAAGAAACGGCGGCGGCGGCGATGATGGCGGCGGCGACTTGAGACGGCGAATGATGTGGTGACGTGGCGTGGCGGCGGCAGACGGGCGCGATCACGGAGGTGCAGCGAGCGATCCCTGGTGGCCAGAAAGGATTACATCGAGGCTGCCGCAGAGACGGATGGAGCGTGCGCAAGTCGCCCAGCACTGGCCCTGCGGAGCCGGAAGGCTAATAGCCACTGATGGACCTCTGCTCCATATGCTTATCTAATTCCCTTTTGAAGCCGTCCATGCTTGTAGCACCCACCACTTCCTGTGGCAGTGAATTCCATGTGTTAATCACTCTTTGGGTGAAGAAGTACTTCCTTTTATCCGTTCTAACCCGACCGCTCTGCAGTTTCATGGAGTGCCCACGAGTTCTTGTATTGTGAGAAAGGGAGAAAAGTACCTCTTTCTCTACCTGCTCTTTCCCATGCATAATCTTATAAACCTCAATCATGTCACCCCTCAGTCGTCGTTTCTCCAAGCTAAAGAGCCCTAAGCGCCTTAACCGTTCCTCATAGGGAAAGTGTTCCAACCCTTTTATCATTCGAGTTGCCCTTTTCTGCACTTTTTCCAAAGCTATAATATCCTTTTTAAGGTGTGGTGCCCAGAACTGCACACAGTATTCCAAATGAGGTCTCACCATTGATTTATATAGGGGCATTATTATATTGGCTGATCTGTTTTCAATACCCTTCCTAATAATCCCCAGCATAGCATTGGCCTTCTTTATTGCAGTCACACACTGTCTCGACATTTTCAGTGAGTTATCCACTACAACTCCAAGATCTCTCTCTTGATCAGTCTCTGCCAGTTCAGACCCCATCAACGTGTATTTATAGTTAGGATTTTTGGCTCCAATGTGCATCACCTTGCACTTGGCCACATTGAACCCCATTTGCCATGTTGACGCCCACTCGCCCATCCTTGACAGATCCCCTTGGAGTGCCTCACAATCCTCACTGGTTTTCACCACCCTGAACAACTTTGTATCATCCGCAAATTTAGCCACTTCACTGCTTACTCCCATCTCCAAATCATTAATGAACAAGTTAAAAAGCAGTGGACCAAGTACTGATCCCTGCGGTACCCCACTGCTTACCACCCTCCACTGAGAAAATTGCCCACCTACACTCACTCTCTGTTTTCTATGAACTAGCCAGTTTTTGATCCATAAAAGGACTTGTCCTTCTATCCCATGATTTTTGAGCTTACTTAGGAGCCTTTGATGAGGAACTTTATCAAAAGCTTTCTGGAAGTCAAGGTAAATAATATCTATTGGATCCCCCTTGTCCACATGTTTGTTCACCCCCTCAAAGAACACTAACAGGTTAGTGAGACAAGATCTTCCCTTACAGAAACCGTGCTGAGTCTGCCTCAATAGGTTTTGTTCATCTATGTGCCTACTAATTCTTTCCTTAATAATGGTTTCCACCAATTTACCCGGTATCGACGTCAGACTGACTGGCCTGTAATTTCCCGGATCTCCTCTGGAACCCTTTTTAAAGATGGGAGTGACATTAGCTACCTTCCAATCCTCAGGAATGGAGGCAGATTTTAAGGAAAGATTACATATCTTTGTCAGGAGATCTACAAGTTCACATTTGAGTTCTTTCAGAACTCTCGGATGTATGCCATCTGGGCCTGGTGATTTTTCAGTTTTTAAGTTGTCTATCAGTTTTAGGACCTCCTCTCTCATCACCTCAATCTGACTCAGGTCTTCCAACACCCCTCCTGAAATCAGTGGTTCTGGAGTGGGCAAGCACTTCTCATCTTCCACAGTGAAGACGGAGGCAAAAAATGCATTTAGCTTCTCAGCCATTTCCCTATCATCCTTCAATACTCCTTTTACCCCTTGGTCGTCCAAGGGCCCCACTGCCTCCCTGGCTGGTTTCCTGTTTCTAATGTATTTGAAGAAAGTTTTATTGTTGGTTTTTACGTTTTTTGCTATATGCTCCTCATATTCCCTTTTTGCCTGCCTGACCTCAGACTTGCATTTTATTTGCCATAGCCTGTGTTCCGTTTTATCAGCCTCACTGTGACTAGCTTTCCACTGCTTAAAGGAATTCTTTTTACTTTTTACAGCCTCCATTACTCTGTTTGTTAACCATGCAGGCTTTTTCCTATACCTGTTTGTGCCTTTCCTAACCTGCGGAATATATATTTTTTGAGCTTCTAGGATCGTAGTTTTAAATAGATCCCAAGCTTCCCCAATTGTTTTGACCCTTTCTACTTTTCCTTTCAGTTTCCTCCCCACGTGTCCCCTCATATCAGAGAAATTACCCCTTTTAAAGTTAAAAATGGTTGTGTGAGTCTTTTTGGCCAATTCTCTATTTGTACAAATGATGAACTCAACAACATTATGATCACTGTTTCCAAGCGGTGCAATCACTTTTACATCTCTCACCAGGTCTTGAGTGTTACTTAGGACCAAATCA